CCCACCATCACCCCCACCTGCTCCTTCCCTTCCCACCATCACCCCCATCCCTTCCCTTCCCTCTCCTCCATTGCCCCCGTCCCTTCCCTTCCCACCATCTCCCCCACCTGCCCCTTCCCTCTCCTCCATTGCCCCCACCTGCCCCTTCCCTCTCCTCCATCGCCCCCAGCCCTTCCCTCCCCATCATAAGCCCCACGTGCCCCTTCCCTCTCCTCCATCGTGCCCACCCCTTCCCTTTCTTCCCCTCCCCACCATTGCCCCAACCTGTCCCTTCCCTCTCTTCCACTGCCCCTCACCTGCCCTCTTCTCCTCTGCCTTGTTACCCCCTTCCGATCCCATCTCCTGTGCCCCTACCCTTGCCCTGTCTCACACATTGCTCCCCTGCCCATTCCCCATCGCCCAACCCCCATCCCATCCACTCTGCCCCAGTCCCCTTCACTCCTTGCCCATCTTCACCCTCTCCCATCACTCCTCTGTGCCTGCCCATTCACCTGTCTCCATCACTCCTCCTCACATAACCCCTCCCATTCCATCTCCTCTGCATCTGACCTACCTTCCTGATCACCCCCTGCACCTGCACAGCCCAGTCTATGCCCCTTCCCACTCCTGCCTCTCCCACTCCTCTACACATCTCATCACCCTTTTACACCTGACCATCTCTCTCCGACCCATGATGATTATGTACCTGCTCATGACATATGTTCTCATTTTCCCTCCTGCCTATCCCCCTCTCTGCCCATATCATAGGTCCCTGTCCAATCCCTGTACACCTATATCTTCTCTCTGCCCTCATTCCCTCTCTCCATTGTATCACAACCACCTCTGTCCCAGAACCTCTCAACACCTGCATCACCTCACTACACCCACCCATCTACATACTGTAGACTAAGGAATCCAATGGAATTTGTTTTTCTATGCCTGGTTATTCTAGTCTTTAATGCTATATTCATGGTAAAAATAAATTTTCCTGATAAGGCATTGGACAAAGTCTGGCTGAGACTTCTATGCCAACTCTACTCCTTCCTTTCCTGTATTTGATTGATTTGTTGCTGATGTGCCTGTGTTGTTGGGATTTTCTACAGAGATCATCAGAATTTTTAAGAGACGTGTTCATGGTATTTCTAAAAATGATTTCCCCCTCCTTTATTTCTGGGGAAAAACATACTGAACTGTGTATTCTCCACATCAGTCTAGAGCCTCTAAGGTCTATAGCTCCACAAACTCTCAGAGGTGCATTTGGGCTTTCCCCCCCCCCTCTTTTTAAAAAGAACTGTTGCAATCAGCAATGGCTCACTTAGGGCAAGTCTACACTACTACAGTGCTACTTCAGCACAGCTGCGCCACTGTAACACATCTGGTATTTTCACATCAGTGCCAAAGGGAGAGCGTTTTCCCATCAGTATAATTACTCCACCTCCACGAGAGGCGGAAGTTATGTTGGCAGGAGAGTGTCTCCCACTGACATAGTGCTGGTGTGGACAGCGCTTAAGACAATGTAACTTGAGTCACTCGGGGGTGTCTTTTTCACAATGTAAGTTACATCGACTTAAGCGGTATTGTAGACCAACCCTTAGAGCAGGGGTGGGCAATAATTTTCACAGGAGGGCCACGCCATGAATTTTGGTAAGTGGTCACGGGCTGCACATTTCTACTGTATTATTGGAGGGGGTGCGGGGTCTCAGAGGGAGTTTGGTCAGGAGCGGGCTCTGGGCTGGGGCAGGGGTTGGGGGTGCAGGCTCTGGGAGGGAGTTTGGGTGCAGGAGGGGGTTCTGATCTGGGACAGGGGGTTGGGGTGCAGGAGGGGGTGCAGGCTCTGGCCAGGAGGCCCTTACCACAGGCAGCTCCCGGCCGGCGGCGCAGTGGGACACACAGGCAGGCTGCCTTCCTGCCATGGCCCTACGCCGCTCCCGGAAGTGGTCAGCTGCTGGCACCGTGGCACGTCTCTGCGCGTCCCTTAGGGGATGGGGGGTAGCAGGTCTCCGTGTGCTGCCCGCGCCCGCAAGCACCTCCAATGGGAGCTGTGAGGACGGTGCTGGGGTGGGGGCAGCGCATGGAGCTGCCTCACCCCCCACCAGGGGCATGCAGAGACATGCCAACAGTAGCCGGCCGCTTCTGGGAGCGGCGTGGGGCCACACCTGCCTGAGCGCCTTGCGGGACTTTTAGCGGCCCGGAGATCGCGAGGGGGCAGCCAAAGAGCCTGGCAGGCTGGACAGAAATGTTCAACAGGCAGGATCCAGCCCATGGGCCGTCTTTTGCCCACCCCTGCCTTAGAGACTAACTTTTAAGTAGCAAAGCTTGGAGTCTGGGGATGGTGACTTATTTTTGCATTCAAAGCTGGTCATTGATTTTAAAAGATAAAAGGACTTTAAAATTCAAGCAGGTCATTATTATGTAATATAGTTTAAGGAACAATCTTGCAATGCACTGATTTTGAACATTGACTAACTGACCGTAAATAGTTTCTCCCCCCCCCCCCCAATCTCTGATTTGTGATCTGTTTAAGCTATATAGTACACTAATATTACAAAAGTTGGGGATTTTTTTTCCAGCTGTATAGCTAAACTAGTTGTGCTTTTTTAATGTTTTCCATCACAAGTTTTCTCTGGTGTAATCGCTTTTGCATCTCATGGCACCATCCTGCAAAGATTTGTGCACATGCTTAACTTTACATATTGTGAGTATTCTTATTGATTGCATTGATCAAAAGCCAAGATTTTCAAGTGACTAGTGATTTAGAGTGCCCAACTGAGACACCTTAAAAAGGGACTGATTTTTAAGGGGGCTTATGTTGAGTACTTTTTGAAAAGTAATCCCCTTTAAGGTGTCTCAAATTGGACACCAAAAATAACTAACCACTTTTGGAAATCTTGTCTACCACGTGTAAAGTTATGTATAAGTGTCAGTCTTTGCAGAAGTCGTGTCAGTCTTTCCGTTGCATTCTTTTTGATGTCTCTGAGCTACAGAGAATGACACTCTTGTTTTTGTAAAGTATTTTGAATTACTGTACGTGGGTATAACCTTTTAGGCCTCAGTGCACAATACAATATGCTTGAGTGTTTTCATGGTTTGTCACACACTTTTTTGGTATTATTTGATAATTTTTTGGCAAGGAATATTTATTGCTTTGTATGTGTGTTTAGGAGTGAGACTGAAGAATAATGTATGAAAGTTATTGACATCATGACAACCATCCGACACAGAAAGGGAATAAAAGTCACAGAAGTTGCTGAAGATCATCTGTCACAAGAGAAAAACGTGAAGCCTGATGGAAAAGTTCGATCTGGTGGGTAATTATAAGAAATGTCGTATTGTGGACTCTCACTGGTGTCAATTTTTTGGTATCTACCCTTATGCACAGATGAAAACTAGGGAATGTACCAAGTAGTTATCCAAGTATAGCCAAATCTTCTTTATGATCAAATATCAAAGGGGTAGCCGTGTTAGTCTGGATCTGTAAAAGCAGCAAAGAGTCCTGTGGCACCTTATAGACTAACAGACGTACAGGAGCATGAGCTTTCGTGGGTGAATACCCACTTCTTCGGATTCATGTATCCGAAGAAGTGGGTATTCACCCATGAAAGCTCATGCTCCTGTCCGTCTGTTAGTCTATAAGGTGCCACAGGACTCTTTGCTGCTTTTATGATCAAAGTTACTGTAGTCACTGGGACACTGTAGACACTGGGACACTGCGCTAGATTCTTTTACCTGTTTTCAAATTCTAGTTTAGGTTACAAATGAAAATAATTTTGTGAACTTCATAAAACCCAGCACACATTTAGCAGAGTTCATCATCAGTGACAGTCTTTGCTCAAGAGAGGCATAGGACTGAAGTAACTTAAACCGGTGGTTCTCAACCTTTTTCTTTCTGAGGCCCTCTCAACATGCTATAAAAACTCCACGGCCCACCTGTGCCATAATAACTGGTTTTCTGCATATAAAAGCCTGGGGCAGAGTTAGGGGGTAGTAAACAGGGCACTTGCCCAGGCCCCACGCCACAGGGGGCCCCCACAAAGCTACATTGCTCAGGCTTTGGCTTCAACCCCAAGTGACATGCAGTGGGGCTTTGGCTTTCCGCCCTGGACCCCAGTGAGTCTAACGCAGGGATGGGCAAACTACGGCCCATGGGCCGCATCCAGGACACCAGCTGTTTTAATCTGTCTCTTGAGCTCCCACTGGGGAACGGGGTCTGGGGCTTGCCCTGCTCCGGCGCTCCAGCCAGGGAGCAGGGTTGGGGGCTGCTCCGCACAACTCCCGGAAGCAGCGGCATGTGCCCCCTCCAACTCCAGCCTCCTACTCATAGGGGCAGCCGGAGACTCCGCTCCGTATGATGTCCCTGCCCCAAGTGCTGCCCCTGCAGCTCCCATTGGCCAGGAACTGCGGCCAATGGGAGCTGCAGGGGTGGTGCCTGCGGACGGGGCAGCACACAGCAGAGCCGCCTGGCCGCACCTCTGTGTAGGAGCTGGGGGTGGGGGGGAGAAAGACATGCTGCTGCTTCTGGGAGCTGCTTGAGGTAAGTGCCACCTGGAGCCTGCACCCCTGACCCATCTCCCCCGCTCCCCAACCCCCTGTCCCAGCCCTGGTCCCCCTCCCGCCCTCCGAACCCCTCAGTCCCAGCCCAGAGCACCCTCCAACACCTCGAACCCCTCATCCCCAACTCCACCCCAGAACCTGCACCCCCAGCTGGAGCCCCTTCCCGCACCCTGAACTGCTCATTTCTGGCTCCACTCCAGAGCCTGAACCCTTAGCCAGAGCCCTCACCCCCTCCTGCACCCCAACCCCAATGTCGTGAGCATTCATGGCTCGCCATACAATTGCTATACCCAGATGTGGCCCTCAAGCCAAAAAATTTGCCCATCCCTGGTCTAACGCTAGCCCTGCTTGGCGGACCCCCTGAAGCCTGTTTGTGGCCCCCAGGGGGCCCCAGACTCCTAGTTGAGAACCACTGACTTAAACCTTCAAATCAGGCAACTCACAATTAAACCTGGAAAATGTATGCTTCAAACACTGGAGGCTCATACAGATGATCTGAGTTGTGATTCTTTAACATAAGGTTTGAAGACCTCTGATAGGGGATCATATCTGCACAGTATAAAAACAAGTAAATTACATGTGGTGTCAGAGCTTTAACTGAAACCATTTTTGGCTTTTGTAGATGTAAGTCAGACTCACACAGTGCTACCTTCAAAATATCTTTTGTTTTGTTGGTTTGTTTATGTAAATGAAGGCCAAAGGCAAATTTTCATGGAAATTCTTGAGAGTTCACACCATTTGTTTTTTTTTTTTTTTTTAGGGTCACGTTTTCAATCTGCAACCTCAGATTTTGTTCCTGCAAAATTGGGTCCACCTGCATTTGTGCACACACTTTGAATAGGTGGGCAGCCAGTTTATCCAATTCGCAGAGATGTAAATAGGCCAAATACAGCTCTGGTGTAAGTGGACAAATCCATTGTCTTCAGCTTCATTGAATCACACTTGCTTATATCTCATTTGAACTTTGTCCAATGTGACAGGTAGCCACTTATATTGGATATGCATCCACATCACAAAAAGCAGGATTACTGAAATCAACTTGAAAAAGATTTTAAAACAAAAAGTGCACATGAGCAGTAAACTGAGTGCTTTATTTAGAAATCAGTCTCTGCATTATATAGTCTATAATCTTGTTCTGATGTCAGCAGGTGGTCATCTGCAATTCAAAGCATGACATCATCATCAGAGACTGCTTTGATCAATGATCAGCCTCAGAGTGGAAGTTTATTCAACCTGAAATGCAGTTTGAAAAAAATAAAAAAATAAAATAAGCAGCCAAGTTCATAAGTTTAAAGAAAAAGATTTTGATATCTTGCTTTGTGAGCTAACAGTCACGCTGTAGTTCATTAATTAAAAACAAAACCCTGGAGGGTATTCCAAACTCTTTGTAATTTAGATTTATAAATTAGATATGGTGTTTATCTAGATCTGTATGAGATCATAGGGCTGTTTTAAAAACTGCAACTTTACATTTTCCCCTTCAAACAGAGGCTTTTTCATTCTATATGTAACTAAAAGATTGCTACACCAGAAAATTACAAGTACAGTTTCCATAAAGCAGTTTGAGAACAAGGCTCTAGTTATGTACAACTCCTAGACCTCACTAGTGATGGTTCTGAAATCCATTTAAAATACATAAGTAGAATGGCAAGCTTCACAATCCCAGAGTGAACGTGTTTTTCTTCTATAAGTTTACACAGGTGAAAAGCTATGGAAGAGACTTTCACTTACAGTGGGTGGAACTGTTGCCATATCTCTTGGACTTCTTACTTCTGTTTACGTTGCTACTCTACATGAAAATGACCTGTGGTTTTCCAATATTAAGGTAATGAAATGATTTTGATAATTACATCAGTGCTTTCCTAGGACACTGTTTGCAACGTGAATATTTGCAGTAGGCTATATACTTACAAAAAAAAAATCTATTTGTCTTGTCACTCATACTGAAAATATAGAATGTTCTATCTGAAGACAGGTGTCGGGGAGGGTGTGTGGGGATGTGAGAGAGCGCGAGAGAGCACACATTTCCCATTTTAACTTTTTCCCCTACTTCCTCACATTGAAAACCTTTCAATCACTTCCATAAGTACCTTTTTCCTAACTATGCTCTAAACCAGTGGTTCCCAAACTTGTTCCGCCGCTTGTGCAGGAAAGCCCCTGGCGGTCCGGGCCGGTTTGTTTACCTGCCGCATCCGCAGGTTCGGCCGATCGCGGCTCCCAGTGGCGCGGTTCGCCACTCTAGGCCAATGGGAGCTGCTAGAAGCGGTGTGGGACAAGGGATGTACTGGCCGCCGCTCACAGCAGCTCCCGTTGGCCTAGAGCGGTGAACCGCGGTCACTGGGAGCCGCGATCGGCCGAACCTGTGGACGCGGCAGGTAAACAAACCGGCCCGGACCGCCAGGGGCTTTCCCTGCACAAGCGGCGGAACAAGTTTGGGAACCACTGCTCTAAACACATTCACACAACAGTCTTCCATTATGTTCCTATATTAATAGTAGCTCAAAATCTTGCCTACAAATGATCACCTAGAAAAAGTCGAAAACACTGATTTCTCAACATTTTAAAAAGTATTATTTTAAGAAAAGAAATGCCTTCCCCAAATCCTGGCATGCAACAGTATTATCTCTGTAAGAAGGTCTTTAATCTGAATAAAGAAATATATCTATAAAGTGATTCTTCTAATGCAATTGGGGCACAGATAATCATCAGTAAAACAAAAGTCTCCAAGTAAGTAATAATATTTATTTTCACATAATAGCATCCTTTATCTGAAAACGTAAAAGCACTTTTCAAATATTAATTAAAGACCTGTGAGAGATGGGATTATCACCATTTTACAGACTAGTAAATTGAGGCACGGGACAGGGAGGTCACTTAAGTCATTGGCAGAATTAGGAATTGAACTCTACACTGAAGTACCCAGTTCAAACTACTAGATCTGTTACCCTGGTATGTTTTTTAATACAGTACCTCAAATAGGGATGAGATGAGATATGTAACCACTCCCACGCTTCTTTGAGGTTGTGAGGTGGGTCCCTTCACATAAGCGTTTTATTTCTCTTTCAAGTAGAACAAACAGTATCAAGACAAATTAATCTTTGGTTTATTGCCAGTTTATGGAGCATAAATAATGACTCATGACAGTCCCCCAGAGAAAGCTTGTGTCCCATTTTCTGGGGCTTGCCAAATAGGCCTGCTGGGGGTGTGGCTAAGGCAGCCAGAAAATGTACTGTTTCCCCATATGTCCTTTCAGCAGACACCACATTGGAACTTAGTGGAGCCCACAATTGTACTTCAAACTGCCACTGACAACTGGACCTCCCCCCGCCCCCCTCAACTAAGGCTGGCAGTGGTAAAATCCCTTCCTTCTCAGGGCATGCAGCTCCTTACCCACTCACCACCTACAAGGGATGTGCAAGGGATGTGGTTGCTGCAGGGAAATGTACTTCCCTGTGCCAACACAAGCAAATTTGGCTCATCAACTCCCTAGAACACAGTCTCTCTCTCCAAGGGATCGTAAAAGATTAATCTAGCAAAGATGATTTAGCACTAACATTCTCTACTTAGGTAAAAATCCTGGTCCTCAGCCAAATCCTCTTCCAAAAGGAAAAGACTTACCTCCTCAAACTCAGCTTTATGTAGAGTTAGTTTCACAGCCTCAGAAATACTTGTGCTGGTGGGAACCAGCGTGTGTAGGATTTTTCCCTTTCCAAGAACCAGTAATGATAGATTTTTTCCCCAGTATTGTTGCAGAGGAAAATAATTGTTATGCTGATGTCTAAATCAAAGAAAATAAATGAACAGGTGAGTTACTTTATTGCAAAAACACTTAGTCCTCACTGTTAGGTACCATATATACACACACACACCATATTTTTCTAATAGATTAGGTAAACATATTTAGAGTATTTATACTGTAATATACTCTTATACAGTGTGTATGAGCTTCTTTAGCACATTAACACCTTTTTGCATTTCCAAAAACATTTTCATACAGGTACTAAAAGCAGTAGTTACCAGTTACTAAAATAGTTACTGCCGAACTGCATGAACAACATTGTTTGTGGCAGCCTCATCTTTCTTTGGTTACACAGAGATGTATACTGTTGATAAACATGATGTTCACTTTTGACAATCTTTACTTTTTTAGGTTAAATGTGTGTGTCTACAAATCCACATACATGACTGAAAAGATAAAATGTTTTATATTTATCTCTGAAAAATTCAATAGTTTGTGAATGTGTTCCAACTTACACAAGATGGCACTAGTGACAAATATGTTTATCATCATAGTTATGTTGCTCAAAAATGGACAAAATGCACACACCAATTTTTTCTTATTATTTCTAATGGATTAGAAATAATCTACATTGTAAAATAAACTTTAGATTTTTTCAGTGATACATTCTATTTATTGGAGTGTACTCTGTGTGCAGGCTCACTTTGCATTGCTTCTAAGAAAATAAGTTTTCCATTTAGTAGATGTTAAGGGTCATATTTTCAGTGGGCTTCAGATTAACCTTTAACTTTGTAAGCACAAATGTTAAACTTTGACTTGAATAGGCAGACAAGTATTTGCAAAAATAAACTTGTTACGAGCAGTTACCGGATATGCCTATACCTACTTGATCATGCAAACTTAGAGGCGATTTCTATAAATTTGGCTTAAAATTATTTAACATGATTTAAGAACAAAGGGGTTAGCCTCTGCTATTTGTGCTTTATTTGCCAATTAAGGAGGACTTTGGGATGATTCAAAGCTGCAGCCATGTGCACTCTTGCAAAGTACTGTATGTCCATCTATAATAAGACATTTAGACATGGGGTGTCCATATATAGAAAATCTTTTTTCATTGTTTTTCAAATAGTATAGACTGTATACTAATATAGGCAGTGAAATTTAGTGTATAATAATTTAGATCTCAAAAGTTATTTTGAAAACAAATGGAAATGTCCATATTTTCTTTAACTTTTTATGGTTTGGCTGATACATATATTCCTGCATATTCTAACTAAATTTCCTCAAAACTGTGTAGCAATATGCCTTATTTTTCTGGAGGTCTAAATGCTAGTTTTATTGCATGTAATCTAATCTTTGACACCAAAATTATTGTGAGCCTTTGCTAAATGAAGTGCAGAGATTATTATGGGGTTTTTTGTTTGTTTTATTTACTAAACATGATGTATACTAGAAATGGAAGCCATACTAACACACACTCAGGCTTGGTCTACACTAAACCTCCAAATCGAACTAAGGTACGCAACTCAGCTACGTGAATAACGTAGCTGAAGTTCGAAGTACCTTAGTTCGAACTTACCTCGGTTCACACGTGGCAGGCAGGCTCCCCCGTCGACTCCGCGGTACTCCTCTCGTCTAGCTGGAGTACCGCAGTCGACGGTGAGCACATCCTGGTTCGACTTATCGCGTCCAGACAAGACGTGATAAGTCGAACCCAGAACTTCGATTGCCAGCCGCCGAACTAGCGGCTGGGTGTAGACATACCCTCAGTGTTGCATAACGCAAGGACCTACAAAATTCTGTAATATATAGCCATTGTTGAGAAACAAGGGAAATGTCTATTATAAAAGAGAGAGTTCATTTTTTAAGAATGTAGTCATACATTTCTTTAAAAATGTTACATCTATTTTTAAATGGCTTTGATTGAATAGGTTATAAAAAAATAAAAAGTAACTAGTTTTTACATTTGGCAACGATAAATACTTTAATACATATAAGAATTCCATAAAGCCACCATGAGTGGGATTCACACAGCGGACTGAGATACCATGCTGCCTAGTGGAATTCACAGCTCTGAGGTAGATGGCCAGGCTCCCTATACAATACATAGGGAGAGATAGGCATCTAAAAAGGGGATTCAAAAAGCCAGCATAGCTGAGTGGGGAGCTGCCTAAGCTAACTAAGAGGAAATGCTCAGGAAAGTGGTGTGGCCTAAGCCTTGCTCCTCAAAAGGTAGTTAGACACTGAAGTCCAGACCAGAGGGAGGTGTCTCCTTCCACTCAGGATTCACAACCATGAATTATTCTGATCCTCCTAAGCCAGGTTAGTGATTCTTGTGAAAAACCAGGGAGGTGATCATGTTCCCCTTATAACCTTAAGCCCAGTTGTTAGAACACATACCCAGGATGTGGGAGAAACCCTCTGCTATCTGATGTGGAGCAGGGGGTGGAACTTGGCTCTCCTGTTTTGCAGGCAAGTATCCTAACCATTGAGCTATGGAGTACTCTGGGGCAGCTCTCTCTCTCTCTCTCTCACGCCCCCCCCATCCCCCTTCTGTTAATGCTGTTCCACTGTGTATAAATACTTAAACTTTAATTAGATCGGGGGACTGTAACCTGAGTCTCCTACGTCTAAGGTTGCCACCCTCCAGGATCGGCCTGGAGTCTCCAGGAATTAAAGATTAATTAAAGATTATGTCATGTGAATAAATCTCCAGAAATACATCCAACTAAAATTGGCAACACTACCTACTTCCCAGGGGCATGTCCTAACCACAGAGCTATAGTCTCTCTCTCTCTCTCTCTCCCAATGAATATTAAGAATTTATACATAATGGAATAGCTCCAACAGGAGATGTTGAGAGTCCCCTCTATTCCAGAATATCCTGAATTAGCCCACTGGTTAGGGCACTCACGTGCAATGTAGGAGGACCCAAGTCCATGCTCCACATCAGGCAGAGGTGGGGGATTTGAACCTGGGTATCCCACATCCTGGGTGAGTAGCTCTGACCATTGGGATAAGTGTTATAAGAGGGTTAACAGGCCCCACCATCATCTTCCATGCAGGTTTAGGTGTGCCCTGAGCAT